ACAATCATTTAAGTATCTCGCTACTAAGGTAAAGGTAATATATGTTCAAACTGCGAGAGAAAATTACTCACTTTGATTACCGATTGAAATTGTAACTTGACAACGGATTAGGGATTATCATTTGTCATTGTCTTCGTCCTTTTTAAATTAAGGATCCATTGTCTTTGCATTTGGAAGACGGCATATGTGGCCGTATCTGGATTTGCCACTTCAAATCATTCAATAACGTTTTTATCGTGTGATCCTCTGTATTGCTACTGAGATTGTCCCTTCACCAATATTTTCTGTATTGCGACGGAGATGATCAACGGGGATAATCTCAGTAACAATACAGATTGGTACAGCACAAGAACTGACCATTACATTTACATTGGGCTGAAATATCCATATTTACCCACCATTTACAAAAATATTATTCGTCTGATCGCCTAATAATCCTATACCGAGTATCGCATTTAGTATCAATGACCAGGGTTGGTCTGACAAATCATTTTGGACATTTATTTATTTCCTAACCACAAAATCAACATCTCTAACCTACAATTACGTTTCTCTTATTAATGTCTCCGGGATAGTGATCAAATCGACTTTCCAAAATCGCTTGGCAGCGGCGATTTCTAAAACTTTATATCTTTGCAAAGTAATCTAAAATGACCAATTCATTGACATGCAAAATGTCAGCTACAACCTACCATTTGTTACACACCATGACCGCCGAACGCCGATAATCACCGACAGCCGAAGGCGAATGCCATCCATAAAAAGTTAGAGATGGTTCACTCGATGGTTTTTGAAAAGTGTTTTGGTTTTGAAAACTGTCCATTATATCTAGTTATTGATATGAATTATATTTTTCCACAACCATGGGGTATTTATAGGATATCCTATGATTTTGAGGAATATCATTTTTATCTACGAGGTGATATTGGTATCTGCACGAGAGAGCAAAGAGAATGAGTGCATATATCACCGAGTAGATTAAAATGATATTCTGAAAAAATCATAGGATGTTCTTATTATCCTTCACAAGGAGTGTACAAAATGTATAATACCATTGCAAAATGAATTCCATGCCAAATAGAATCAATTTGGCGGGAAATCAACAAGCGGAGTATATCGTCACACTATCCTCCGCATATTGGGTTTCTGGAGTATATCGTGGCAATATCCTCCAGTTCAATATCTCTAACATCATGGAACGATTTCCACAAAAATCTATCCCCCGATCTATCCTAACGTAATGCATTGTTATTATTTCATTATTACCGTCATATTCATAGCGTATCATGTCAAAATAAAACTTAATCACTTATTCACCACATATTGTTTTTGCAACTGGAGTCAAAACGACGCTGGTAGATGTTTGAGACACGTTAGTAAATTACGAATAATTATAGGATATCCTATGATTTTGAGGAATATCATTTTTATCTACGAGGTGATATTGATATCTGCACGAGAGAGCGAAGCGAACGAGTGCATATATCAATATCACCGAGTAGATTAAAATGATATTCTGAAAAAAATCATAGGATGTTCTTATTATCCTACACTTACAAGGAGTGTACTAAATGTATAATATCATTGCAAAATGAATTCCATGCCAAAATAGAGTCAATTTGGCGGGAAATCAACAAGCGGAGTATATCGTCACAATATCCTCCGCATGTTGGGTTTTCCGGAGTATATCGTCACGATATCCTCCGCCCGGAGTATATCGTTACGATATCCTCCGGATATTCATTTTGCCAATAAATATCAAATTTATCTTTTAATGTTATTATACATTTAGTACACTAAGTGTAGGATAATCTATTTATAAACAATCACATTAAGTTGTAAAATATCCTATGTTAAACCTAAGTCACATTTGTCGTTTGTCATACGACAGGTGACATCGGCAGCAGATCGCGTTTGCCGCAAGGACACCCTGCATTTGCCTTCGTATCTGGGGAAAATACACACTTCAAGTTGACACAGTACGGTGATCGCGAATCGCGATTGAAAGGTCATCACGGAAACCATGGTTTAATATCAACATGCATTCAAAATGTACAATGTAAAATATTATATTTTCAAATTGATTAACTCTTCATCCTTGGGTTAACTCAACATTATATAATGGGCATCCAGCTGCCCATGATCATATTCAGTTATCATTATTACATCTCTTTATTTCCCATTTAGCATGGAATAGAAATAGGATAATTGAATACAAATAGAAGTGGAAATAATCCAATTTGAATGTGATCTCTCAATTCAAATAAAGACGGAGGAGATTTTTGACTGTATTGGTAAAATTGTTATATCCGACGGGCGTACAGTGGCAGAATGAACTAGCTCAAACTCGTGTTAAATCCATCATTTGCATGACAGGGAACAATATTTCACCGGCTGGACTGTCCAGTGAATTCATTTATAAAGTTCACTATCCACGCAGAGCAAGCAAGCGTTTTAAATTTTACAGTTTTATGGTTTGTCAATCCTTATCCCTATATATTCACATAACAAATGTTTACAAAATGTGTGTTTTCAAACCGACCACTCATCCATAACTCAAGTATTGGCGTCTATATTTGTTTCGATTGTTATAAGCTAACTAGCCGCACAAACTACTCAGCTTGATTACATTTTCTTTCATATAGATTTGTACAAAGGCAAAAAATAATTAGGTGTATTCCCAGGTATACATTCACCAATCAGAAATTATAAATATTCAAAGTAGGACATGCACGATGGGATTGGAAGGTACAAAGCGTATAGTTACATTCCCGGGGAAAATCCTCCCGGGGACAGATTAATGTTCCCTCTATTGACCAAACTAGGTACTATTACTTCACTCCACCTTTTGAAAATAACTAACTCATATATATATATATAATACATATATAATAGATTTATATATATATATATACAGGGTGTTCCAAAAGTAACAGGACTGGTGCTGGTATTTTGTCAATTTTGCACGGAGTATCTTCAAATTTTCGCAAATTGTACTTTGAAGTATTGCAAAGTTTCAGAAAAATTGATGAAATGCGATTAGAGTTATGGTTACTATAGTAACATGACATTCCAATACCCGGGGCAACGTTTTTCCTGAAAATGTGATATCTAACATTTTTGTATTACTGAAGAAAGTATCTAATTCCCCTCTTGTAATACATCATTTCTTGTTTATTTTATTAGTTCCTTTGTTGTAAAGGTGTTGCTATACAACTCAGATTTAAGTATAATATCATAATGATAATAATATGAATTCAATTTCCTGGAATATCACTATGTATAACAGTCTGAAGAATTCGCGGTTGAGTTTTTGAAAAGACCCAATTTGAAGCCAGTCATCTACCTTGATAGCGCGCCTGCCCGCAGGTCACCATAAAGACCATGCAGCTATAGAGCTAGGTATTGAGGTTTAAAACCATGCACCATACTCCTCTGATCATGCAATATTTAATTTTTACTTATATTGAGAACGGAATGCTAAACAGTGCTGTAAGACCTTTAAAGATAAGAATGACCTTCTCCAAATTGTCCAATCGACCCTGCGTAGCATGTCCTCAAATGGGTTCACTCATGTGTTTGGGAAATGGGTACATAGTACTACTCTTGTACTGACCAAAGAGGAGCCTATTTTCACAGTAGAGGATACATAGGAATATCAAATGATGTAAAACAAATGTAATTCCCACCAGTTGTTGCATTTCAACTTTGAGATGGCATTTACAAAATGATATGGCATGTACAAAATGCTTAATGTCTCTGTAACTTTTTGCGTGGAATGTTGCCCCGGGTATTATGATGTCATGTTACTATAGCAACCATAACTCTACCCAAATCTCATATATTTTGTCGAAACTTTGCAGTCTTAGTAACGTCACATGAAAGTACATTATGTAAAATTTTGAAGATGATTGGTGCATATTTAAAAAATGCCAGCACCAGTCCTGTTACTTTTGGAACACCCTGTATATATGTAAAAATATCAAAATTGTCCGAAGCAGGCGTAACGTGCAGTAGACTGATTCAATAAAAGACAAGTCTCCGTTTGGAGAACGAAGTTCATCAGTCTACTCCGCAACAAAAACCAACTATTTCATAGTGTTTCTACATATACCCTCTACAATGGGTTATGTTACATTTTTTCAGTAACAGGGGCTTTCACTTAGAAAATGAGCAATTTAGCAAGATGCATTGACTTAACATGGAGATTGACTTAACACGGGGATATCATCATTTTCTTAAGTCAACATAGATAATTATTTGGCTAACATTTTTTGTCACCCTGTACCTTCTATACATGTCACATTATCTTTTCCAAGCATTAAACAGTGTTTTACTACTTGAAATGTGCAGATTTTTACAATTGCAGGCGTTTGCATCCTATTGGAACAACCTTTTTGACATTTTCAGAATTCTATATTCTCTTGTTAATCAAAAGTACTTAATTGTTTATCAAAATCAATTGATATTATATTTGAAATGTAGTTATGTGGTTAAACGTTTAAAGCAAGGCACCTGACGCGAACGAGCATCACACCCTAGAAAATTTTCAAAATGGCCACCAGAAAACAAGATGGCCACCCATAAGTTAATCATCTCTAGAACTTGATATTTCGAGAAAATTCAATGAGCGGTTCTCCTGAAATGGCGATGACAAGATTTATGGAAAACAAGTTTGAAGAGAAACGGTGCAGTATGAGACTCGTAATCCTTAATTCTCAAACATCTGGTAGGTCAAACATTCAAATTAAGGGTCGAAGTTTGAGCCGTGTGATTATGACAATATTTTGAACACGGCACTTTAAATTGGTTTTAATTATTCCTTTTCCAAGAGTGCGTATAATTGTATAGTTCCTAAGCTTTTAATTTTGACCCTAGCATCTACTTGGCTAATTATCTCCATATATTGACCTCACAAAATAGTGTATTTATTAATCTGTGTGCAAGTCATATTGCATCGTGCGTCTTTTGTCACTTCATAAATCAATATAAAAACTTACCTTGACACATTTGTGTGTTACAAATAGTGGAATGGGTTTCAATTGAACTCCCTTGGCACATATGCTCGCCTCCTTTTGAAATGGAAGCGTACGTCCGATTGCGCGTTTTCACCACAAAGCCAGAACCGCATGTTTTACTACATGCTCCATGTGACCACAGGCTCCATTCGGCCCACGAACAATCTTTAACAATCAGTTGTACAGGACGTCAATGGTTATAAAGGTAAGAAAACACATGTCATTAAAGAAAATGTTGAGTGGCATGGTACCAAGAAAATAGTCTTCCTTTATGTAGGTTCTTTACTCGAGGACTACCGTTCCGTAGAAAACCCTACTTTCGAGGCCCAAATTTGCTCATGATGACACAATTTATATTTTATATAGGCCTATAGGGTCAGTAGGGAATGCACGGTTAAGGAAACCAAAAAAAACTAAAAAACTACGAATGTAGGAAGCAATGAACAGTGTCGAAATATACAAATGTATACAAAATATACACACTAGGGACATTATTACGAGAATATATCCATAAATGCATAGATGCTCTAAATTGTCCTTCTTTATTCCCTAATATATTAACCTCTGTACTGATATGTACTATCTATTGTTTAATTTATAATAGGCTAAATCATGATAATTTATTACATAATAAATAATTGGTTGCGCTGGTTACACGGACAATAGAGTATAACTTATGAACTTCTATTAACTATTTAAGTTCAGGTCCTATCAATACATTTTGTTTAGTGCATAGCAATGTGAGCTCTAAAGGAAGCCATTGTTTAATGTCATTTAATACGGCACTTACAATAGTACATTCATACAGAAGATGGCAAATCGTTTCAGGATTTGCTTTACAAAAAGTGCAAATGTTTGACTCTACGAGTCCACACATTTTTAGGTATGTATTAGTTGCTAAAAATCTGTGAAGGACTTTATAAGTGAAGGATGATAACTTAGGTTCATAGTTACTCAGTTTGTTAAGTTTATTTATCTTCTTCCAATCATTTTGATTGAGTGACAAATTCAGATCTTTATTCCATCCTTCTATATATTTTGAATTCTTTTCTAAATTCTGAACAAATTCCCAGTATATTATTTTACTAATCTTTGACTGAGTAAGGAACTTTTGTACGTGTGCTTTATTTCTTTCATAATCAGTGGTATTCTGATTATTCTCCATGACGTCTCTTTAGCCAAGATTTTGGAATAGTGTTTTTTAGACTCAAATAGTCTAAAAAATTAATATTACTGTGGAATTTGTCATTGAATTCTAAAAGCGTTAGAAGTCTTTTTGAATTATGAAATACCTCCTGTAGTACAATTACTTCATTGTTAACCTTTGTATTTTGCAGTATATATTGAACATTTTGATTTTTGGTATGTTTCCCCCATGTATTACACATAGCTTGTTCAGCTCTCAGTTTAGTATTATGTTCAGCTTCTTTTTCATGAGAAGACAATCATCTTAAATAATATGCTATGTATTTTTAAAAGGTATGTTTATTTGTGCAAATATTCTATGCTAAAACCAACACTTAAAGGTTTTATAAGTAATGTGAAGGAATATTTTATTATGGACAAACGGGTTGGCAGAGGCGATAAGTGGAAAATCATGGAAACAAAATTAAACAAATGAAACTGATGATTTTTTCCTTTAAATAAATAAAAAAAATGCCAATGGTATAACGTCTCTTAAGACGAAATATTTAACCACTGTACTGTATTGTAAAATTGATAAATGTAGGATTACATGTAACTGTACTGTAATTGTTTTTTGCAATTGCTTTAACATGCTTATTCTTTGAAATAAAAAAATTATAAAAAAAAAAAAAAAAAAAAAAAAAAAAAAAACTATTTAAGTTCAACTAATGGTCCTACTTCTGCTAACGATCAGTCACAACAACCTTTGTACAATGACTGTTAGTGACTGATGCTACTGATCAATCATCTGTGGGAATGAAAATGGTCAGAATCCATCCAAACGAAATTCGTATAGTAAAATTCAAATGAGTCTAAAATTACCCAGTAGTATTGAACACTCTTATCAAGCACATATCCCATGCATACAGACTATATATACCTAAAAACATTTTGGATTACCAAAAAGGTATGGTTGTTGTTTTTGATCTTTGAACTTACAATGGTGTTGCAGCAAGCAACACTGTTGAATCTTCTCCTGAGCTGAATCACCGATGCATGTGTTTGGTTGTGTGTCATGATCTCCATAAGTCCTCTTGCTACGCTCAACACCCACACCTGCCGCATCTCGCACGATATCACCTTTCGCTTCTCGCCTTTTCCTGTATTGACAGGGAGAACACACTCTTGCTCGATTACAAGCCTGTAAACCAGTAATCGCGCATGGCCCATCGATTACACCTCCGATTGAACCCGTGTCTATATTTGTATACCCTTTACATGGGCTAAAGCTCCAATCTGTCCACTCGCCCCAGATTCTACAATCTGAAATAAATCAAACAAACAAAACGTAACAAACAAATAAGCAGTTAAAAAATAAACAATAACAAAACCAACAAACAAATTGATAGAAGAACATTAGCAATATCTCTTACTACAACCATATGCGCTCTGCTATACAGGTAAGATGATTAGATATGTGGTCACATAGAGCGCACCCCCCCCCCCCATTACCGATAAAAAATAAAACCATAAGACAGAAAGGAGCTTTAAAATGCTTTTTTATTTGAAGCTTCTGGCTCATTTTGAAGGAAGTTGTATATATTTTTTGTAAAGGACGATTCTCGGTTTGGAGAACGGTCTCCTGGGCTAATAATTTTTTTCATGAAAAATACAGAAATATTACCCAAATTAAACTATGAATATTCAAAAGAGGACATTTAAATCTACAAGATGTAAAAATAACAAATTGGTCTGAAGCAGGGATAACGCTCAATTAGACCGATTCAATAAAATACAAGTCCCGATTTGGGGAAAGAAGTTCATCAGTGTACTGCGCTCTAGAAATATTACCCAAATTAAATTATGACTATTCAAAAGAAGACATTCAAATATATATTATGTAAAAATATCAAATTTGTCCGAAGCAGGGATAATGCTCATTTAGATTGATGAACTTCATTCTCCAAACCGAGAATAGTCCTTTCAAAACAAAACTTTTTTTTTTGCCTCGCTTTAGTCACGGCCGCTCCCCAACCCTGATCCAATTGTTTTGTCAATTGCATCCCCCTGGCTGGAAGCCCGCTACGCCCCTGGGTCGTATTATGAAAGGACAAACATTAGTACCTGGGCAAATTCGTACATTACAACCACTTCTGACAGTTTCAAAAGAATTCCCTTCACACATGTACGCAGCTGCTATTGAGGAATATGAGTGCGTTCGTGTACGGGTTTTGGACATGTTGCCAGGACCACACGTAGTACTGCAGCCTCCAGCGGACCAAGCACCCCAGTTATTCCATGAACAATCTACATTTACAAGTAAATAGCCTAATGAATTAGGAAAAGAAGTGGGTTCGAGCTAATCATGCAGTATCACGGTGTTATAGCATGACAGATACGCCACCTCTGAAAACGAGGTTAGTCGTATACGATCACTGATTTATCCAATAAAATGGCCACGATGAAACAGAAAGCTAAGGTAGGTGCATTATGTTCTACTACTGCGTATCAATAAAAGCATGGAAGATTTATGTAAGCGTCGCATTCGGTGATGCATTCAGTAATGTTTATTTTGAACGTAGTCTTTGCAAATCGACGCCCATGGATAACATGAAATAAGCGAAAAACTGTCGAGTTTGAAATTCAAAACTTCATAAAATTTAGTAATTTGTTTCTTTTCTTCGTTAGGACATGCTCTACATTGCGCAACAACCTTGGTGTATATAAATGTAACCTACATACGATCATACAAAGCCAATTAAGCATTGTAAACCACTTAATATGTTCTACTCAAGCCATAATAATGTATTTTGAATTTGCGGATACGCCAAAAAATGATAGACAGTTACGCGAACCTCGTTCATATATGTAAAACCGAATCATTTCATATCGCTTGTGATCCAAAATTGAAATGTTTTTCAACTGGATTTGAGTTTTGTAAGCTATAATAGATGAAATCGTATTATTACCACCTTGCAGGGCCTGTTATAGGGGTTTTAGTACTAGTTGAGAAGGCATTTAAATTGCTATATTGACGTGAGCAATATTGTGTCGGGCGTTAATGACTTTAGTCGGGCAATAATGATATTATTCGCCCGGCTATGTTTCCCGGGAAAAGTGATATCGTTCAGTGCGTAAGATTTTCTATTTCAAATTTGCTATTTCAGCCCTGGGCATTAACGGTGGTCCAATATTTCATATTGCCCGCAGAAATGACGTTATTGTACTATTATGAAGATGGTGACATAAACAGCTGAATATGATTTGTAATAATGGTAATATATGTCTAATGTCACTTATGACATCATCAATTAATTTGGAGTTGTTTTCTTCCGTCGCCCGTTCGTTGTTACTAATTTCTTCCTTTGCCTCTTCATTACAATCATTTTCACTTTCATTGGCTTTCGCTATTTTTTCCTTGCCCTATAGAGGCTCAAGCAAGAGCGTCTCTTGCGAGTCCTGAAAACAAATATAGGCAGTTCACACATAGAGAGCTATCCATCTAGGGACCTTGACTTGACAGGAACTTGCATGTAACCGTCCGCTAACATCTAATGTAAAACTAATACAATGCGTTGCTGTCCATAAAAAAGCATGCAATACATACGTATCTGTCTAACGACCTTGCGATTGAAACCTTATTATCTATAATATTTACCACATTTCTGTTCTGCATATGTCATTTTATGGCTTGTTTATGCACAGTTTACGTACAGTTAGTATTTTGAGTGGCTCTGAGACACATATACTGAGAAAACACGAAAAAGGACTAAAAATTATGAACTTCGAAATCTCAGCTGGGTAGGTTTACAGCTTATATTCTGCTTCTTGTAGACCATTGCCTTATGTTGATTTTATATACTCACAGGGGCAGTCAAGCACATTATAAGACATCCGTGCCATTGCCTTAAGTTGATTTTATATACTCACAGGGACAGTCACGCACGTTACAAGATATGCGTGCCACTGCCTTATGTTGATTTTATATACTCACAGGGACAGTCACGCACGTTACAAGATATGCATGCCACTGCCTTATGTTGATTTTATATACTCACAGGGACAGTCACGCACGTTACAAGATATGCGTGCCACTGCCTTATGTTGGTTTTATATACTCACAGGGACAGTCACGCACGTTACAAGACATGCGTGCCATTGCCTTATGTTGATTTATATACTCACAGGGACAGTCACGCACGTTACAAGACATGCGTGCCATTGCCTCATGTTGATTTTATATACTCACAGGGACAGTCACGCACGTTGCGAGACATGTGTGCCATTGCCTTAAGTTGATTTTAAACACTCACAGGGACAGTCATGCACGTTACAAGACATGCATGCCATTGCTAAATGTTGATTTTATATACTCACAGGGACAGTCAGGCACGTTACAAGACATGCGTGCCATTGCCTTATGTTGATTTTATATACTCTCAGGGACAGTCACGCACGTTACAAGATATGCGTACCATTGCCTTATGTTGATTTTGTATACTCACAGGGACAGTCACACACGGTACAAGACATGCGTGCCATTGCCTATTTGATTTTATATACTCACAGGGACAGTTACGCACGTTATAAGACATGCGTACCATTGGCTTATGTTGATTTTGTATACTCACAGGGACAGTCACGCACGTTATAAGACATGCGTGCCATTACCTTATGTTGATTTATATACTCTCAGGGACAGTCACGCACGTTACAAGACATGCGTGCCATTGCCTTATGTTGATTTTATATACTCACAGGGACAGCCACGCACGTTACAAGACATGCGTGCCATTGCCTTATGTTGATTTATATACTCACAGGGACAGTCACGCACGTTACAAGACATGCGTGCCATTGCCTTATGTTGATTTTATATACTCACGGGGACAGTCACGCACGTTCCAAGACATGCGTGCCATTGCCGTATGTTGATTTTATATACTCACAGGGACAGTCGTGCACGTTACAAGACATGCGTGCCATTGCCTTATGTTGATTTATATACTCACAGGGACAGTCACGCACGTTACAAGACATGCGTGCCATTGCCTTAAGTTAATTTTAAACACTCACAGGGACAGTCACGCACGTTACAAGACATGCGTGCCATTGCTAAATGTTGATTTTATATACTCACAGGGACAGTCAGGCATGTTACAAGATATGCGTGCCATTGCCTTATGTTGATTTTATATACTCACAGGGACAGTCACGTACGTTACAAGACATGCGTGCCATTGCCTTAAGTTGATTTTAAACACTCACAGGGACAGTCACCCACGTTACAAGACATGCGTGCCATTGCTAAATGTTGTTTTTATAAACTCTCAGGGACAGTCACGCACGTTACAAGACATGCGCGCCATTGGCATGTGTTGGTTTAATATACTCACGGGGACAGTCAGGCATGTTACAAGATATGCGTGCCATTGCCTTATGTTGATTTTATATACTCACAGGGACAGTCACGTACGTTACAAGACATGCGTGCCATTGCCTTAAGTTGATTTTAAACACTCACAGGGACAGTCACCCACGTTACAAGACATGCGTGCCATTGCTAAATGTTGTTTTTATAAACTCTCAGGGACAGTCACGCACGTTACAAGACATGCGCGCCATTGGCATGTGTTGGTTTAATATACTCACGGGGACCGTGACGTACGTTACAAGACATGCGTATCATTGCCTTATGTTGATTTTATACACGCACAGGGACAGTCACCCACGTTAAAGACATGCGTGCCATTGCCTTATGTTGATTTTATATACTCACAGGGGCAGTCAAGCACGATACAAGACATGCGCGCCATTGGTATATGTTGGTTTAATATACTCACAGGGACAGTGACGTACATTACAAGACATGCGTATCATTGCCTTATGTTGATTTTATATACTCACAGGGACAGTCACGCACGTTATAAGACATGCGTGCCATTGCCTTATGTTGATTTTATATACTCACAGGGGCAGTCAAGCACATTATAAGACATGCGTGCCATTGCCTTAAGTTGATTTTATATACCCACATGGACAGTCACGCACGTTACAGGACATGCGTGCCATTACCTTATGTTGATTTTATATACTCACAGGGACAGTCACACACGGTACAAGACATGCGTGCCATTGCCTATTTGATTTTATATACTCACAGGGACAGTCACGCACGTTATAAGACATGCGTACCATTGCCTTATGTTGATTTTGTATACTCACAGGGACAGTCACTCACGTTACAAGACATGCGTGCCATTGCCTTATGTTGATTTTATATACTCACAGGGACAGTCACGCACGTTATAAGACATGCGTGCCATTGCCTTATGTTGATTTTATATACTCACAGGGGCAGTCAAGCACGTTATAAGACATGCGTGCCATTGCCTTATGTTAATTTTGTATACTCACTGGGACAGTCACTCACGTTACAAGACATGCGTGCCATTGCCTTATGTTGATTTTATGTACTCTCAGGGACGGTCGTGCACGTTACATGCGTGCCATTGTACTCTCGGGGACAGTCGTGCACGTTACAAGACATGCGTGCCATTGCCTTATGTTGAATTTATGTACTCTCAGGGACAGTCAGGCACGTTACAACACATGCATGCCATTGGTATATGTTGATTTTATATACTCACAGGGACATTCACGTACGTTACAAGAAAGTGAACTCGTTTCAATGGAATTGCCTGAGCACAGGTGCTCACCACCAGGGGAAGATGTTTGAGGTCGTCTTCGAGATTTAATCAAAAAACCAGGTCCACAAGTTTTATCGCATTTGCTGTACACCCATTGACTCCACATACCCCAAGTACAATCTGAAAGATTTGATGCTTGTATTATACTCTCCCAGTTCACTTTAAAATTATTATATTTTTCTACTCGTTATATCACTCGTCATATTTTCGTACTTTCTTCCAGTAACATTATTTGAAGTATATATATTACGTGGCACATGTTTATCTAACTTAAAAGAAATAGAGAAAAATGAAATTGGGAAGCTAGTTCAAAATCTCTTTAACAAGAACAATATGCAAAGGGGAAGTTAGTTCAGGATCTCTTTAATGACAAAAATAAACAATGGGGGAGTGAGTTCTGCATTTCTTTAATGACAACAATATCCGATGGGGAGGTTAGTTTAGCATCTCTTTAATGACAAAATATGCAATGGGAAAGCTAGTTCTGCGTCTCCTCAATAAAACCATACAATGGGAAAGTTTGTTCAGCATCTCTTTATAACAATCTGCAAGGAGGAAGCTAGTTCAGCATCTTTTTAATACCAATCTGCAATGGGGAAGTTAGTTCATGTGCAAAGGGGTAGTTTGTTGAGCATCTTTTTAATAACAATCTGCAATGGGGAAGTTAGTTCAGTATCTTTCCAATAAGAACCATGTGCAAAGGAGAAGTTAGTTCAGCATCTCTTTAATAAGAATCATATGCGAAGAGGAAGTTAGTTCAGCATCTATTTGATATCAATTTGCAATGGGGAAGCGTGTTCAGTATCTTTTCAATAAGGACCATGCGTAAATGAGAAGTTAGTTCAGCATCTCTTTAATAAGAATCATATGCAAAGGGGGAGTTAATTCAGCATCTCTTTAATAACAGTTTGCAATTGGGAAGTTAGTTGAGCATCTTTTGAATAAGATATGTATGCAATGGGGAAGTTAGTTCAACATCTCTTTAATAGGAAGCATATGCAAAGGGGAAACTGGTTCAGCATATTTTTCATAAGAACAATGTGCAAAGGGGAAGTTAGTTCAGCCTCCTTTAATAATAACCATTTGCAATGGAGGAGTTAGTTCAGCATCTTTTGAATAAGATCTATATGCAATGGGGAAGTTAGTGCAGCATCTCTTTAGTAAAAACCACATGCAAAGGGAAAGCATCTATTTGAAAACAATTTTCAATTGGGAAGTTGCATGTAGTTAAGCATCTCTTTATTAACAATCTGCAATGAAGAAGATGCTCAGGCATCTATTTAATAACAATTTGCAATGGGGAAGTTAGTTCAGCATCTTTTAAATAAGAGACCAAATGCAAGGGAAAGTTAGTTCGGCATTTTCTAAATAAGAACCATGTGCAAAGGGGAAGTTAGTTCAGCCTCTCTTTAATAACAATTTGCAATGGGGAAATTAGTTGAGCATCTCTTTAATAACAATTTGCAGTCGGGAAGTTAGTTAAGCCTCTATTTAATAACACTTTGCAATGGGGAAGTTAGTTCAGCATCTTTTAAATAAGATCTATATGCAAAGGGGAAGTTAGTTCAGCATTTTTAAATAAAAACCATATGCAAAGGGGAGGTTGTTCAGCATCTCTTAAATAAGAACAATATGCAAAGGGGAAGTTAGTTCAGCATCTTTTAAATAAGATTTAAATGCAAAGGGGAAGTTAGTTCAGCATCTTTTAAATAAGATCTCTATGCAAAGGGGAAGTTAGTTCAGCATCTTTTAAATAAGAACCATATGCAAAGGGGAAGTTAGTTCAGCATCTTTTAAATAAGAACCATATGCAAAGGGGAAGTTAGTTCAGCATCTTTTAAATAAGAACCATATGCAATGGAGATGTTAGTTCAGCATCTGTTTAATAAGAACAATATGTAATCACTAGCGCGGACACTCCTTGTTGTAGCATGTTTCCTGGTCTGACTGATTTGAACTTCCCTCACACGTATACCCAACTGGAGCTTGTAGTTTGGTTCTTGAGCGAGTTTTCTGTCGTAGCCCAGAACCACATGTCACCGAGCAACGGCCTTGTTGTGCCCAAGGGCCCCACGTGCTCCACCTACAGCCTGTAAATCGCGTCTCTTAAGCCCGGTATACACCAATGCCCCATAGAGTCCCATCATGCCCCATCGAATCCCAACTTGCCCCATTGAGCCCTATGAAGTCCCATCAGATCCCACGGAGTCCCATGAAGCAAGTCACGTAATACGTCAAATGATCGAAATCCCACGTTGGCCCATGGAAAGAATGAGCATGTTCATTCTCGATGGGGCAAGATGGGACTCCGTGGGATTTTCCCCCATCTTGTCCCAACTTGCCCCATCAAGTCCCACCGAGTCCCACGTGGGACTTCATGGGACCTCGTGGGACTCGATGGGGCAAGATGGGGCAAAATCCGACGGAGTCCCATGGAGTCCCACGGACTTCATGGGGCAAAATCCAAAAGGTCCCACGAGGTCCCACGCAATGTTAAGTCTATGGAGGTCCCAGCAATTTGCCCCATTTGTGTATACCGGGCTTTAGAAAATGTGGTAGGAGTAATGAAGGATTTGACAGGAAAAAAGATTTGATAGGAAAAAAGACTTTGATATATTTGATTAGAGATCGAAATTGCAATTGCTAAAGATGTTTCATAATAGAAAATAATAGAACAGCGAATATTCATTCTTTTTAAATATAGAAAACAAAAATGATACGTTGACATACTCATTCAATACATGTTTAACACGACATATTGAATTCAGTTGTACCTGTTGGGCATTCTTGAGTATTGCACCTCTCGGAGGTGGGAATGTTTTCAATTGTGTCTCCGATGCACGTTCCATAAAGTCTAATTCTTCTCCTTAACTGATACCTAGTTCCTGTACCGCAAGTCTTAGAACAAGCCCCGAGTTGCCATCGACTCCATGTACCCCATTTGCAGCCTACAATGAAAGGAAGCATGAAACGTGTCTAAATATATATTTGTAGGTTATCTGACTTATTTGATAATCATAAACCAGTTGTGAATTCCAATGCTCGAGGTTACATATTCTTCATAATGAATCCCCGTAGATTGTTTAGTTCTTCAATCCACCAGTTGTTTTCGGGGTTTCATTCCGGAACGTATGAAGAGAAATAGATTTTGGTCAAAATCAAGAGCAATCAATTCATATTGAAATTGTACAGTATATACATGTTTTACACGGGACATATGAGACAAGAGAGCCAAACATCGTATTTCAGAATGTATACAACACATAGAATAAATGTATCTAGTATTTGCATAAATATACTTACCAGCTGCACATTGTTGAGTATTACACCGTTCGGAAGTAGGTAGACTCTCTATTGTTTCCCCGATACATGTTGCTGATATCCCAGTACCAACAAACAGTTTGATTCTTCTCCTGGACTTATATATGTTTCCCGTACCACAACTCTTAGAGCAAGCCCCGAGTTGCCATCGGCTCCACACTCCCCATCTGCAGCCTACGATTGAAATAATGTCGAGCAAGATTATCTTAGTCAATGTTGTTAATATGTTCACTATGTTTAATAGATGAGTCGCGTTCACAAGCAAACCTACAGAACTTGAATGCATTTTTCACCTCACCGTGTTTTATAACCGAAAACCATTGTTATTTGACTTCGTTTCCGACGAATAATATGTTGGAACATTTTCAGACTTTTGTGACAAGATCATTCGAGTAGCCGCATCTGGGACTAAGGATGTAATTACATGGAATTGAATCACAGGTGGACGATCCATCGTTTCTTGTTTGAGATTCTTTTTCAGTGCTGGGCTTTGGACAGTTATAACTACTTCGATTGCGATAACGAAATCTTGAACAAGTGAGTGGAATCTTTGGTGGTCCTCCACACGGCTTTTGTTTGTTACATTGGCCGCATTGCCATGGAGACCAATTAGACCAAACATCCCAAGTACACTTAGTTGTTGGCTTCACGCAACGACAATCATTGAAGGCAAAAACTTTAAAGACTTCATCTTTGTTACATTTTTTCGTAAGAATTGTTGGAAATCCTGTGTGCTGACACGAGTACTGATTTCCTAAACCAGGCGTGTGCCATAGATCTCCTATACAACATTTAGTCGCAGGGTTGCCTCCATATCGAGGGTCTGATTTAGGGGGACACGAGGCTATAAAATATAGCAAACGATTTCAGGCTGATACTCCTTACTTAACAAGAATATGCAGCATAACAATGTTGTTTATTCGAAAGTAACACATTGTTAAAAGTCATAATTGTAGAAGTTTGCGAGATTGCAATTCTACACTTATGTTCATTATACTAATTTACGTACTAGCTTTAACGTGACACTTTGTCATGCAGGGTTGTAAGATTATCTTTTCCGGACCATCAAACTCTGCCAAACATGTTTTCCAGCATGAGGAATCAATGGAAAATCCCTGAAATGTGATATTCACGCATTGGAAATCTACAGTTTTCCTATTTTCTTTAAAATCCTTTAAATCATGCATTGTTCGGGATTTCACCCACGGACGTAGAACCAGCTGGTTTTCTATCGTAATTGTCATTTTTGGAGCAGACTTACTTGTTAATTTTACATATTTGAAAAGGAACCAATGGATCATTTAATAAGATTAGAAATAAATGCATATGTTGTATGTCCCGATTGCCCGTTAATTCTATTTATTTTGCTATCTTAATAGAACTGAATATAATATGTTACGTAAAAATCAACATACATACCTTTTTTATCTCGCATACATTTTTACATTTTTTAACTTTAAATCTTTTACATATTTTTTGGCATGGACCATATCCAGTTCCCTTTGGCCCTGCAATAAATATGTTTTATTTTCACAAAATACGAAATATTTGGTAGATATAGACGGCGTGAAATTCAGATTTTAAAAACATAATCACAGTTTGAGTAGCAATATCTTATATTAATAGTTGATCCACTATAAAATCGACGAGCAAACATGTATTCAAATTTGTGAAGCCACGAAATGAAAAGCCAAATTGCACATTCAATGACTTTCTAAATAATCTCGAGCTTGGCAATATAAAGGATTTACGTTTTGCTATTAGCGTTCAAATATGTAATGTTTTAAGCACGGGTAGTAATTAACACAAGAAATAGAAGATACAACATTTTCTCATTATACGCTATACATTTTTATAATTTCAATTTTGCAATACATGTACCTTTATTCTTTAATTTCCTTCCATTAGTTCCACCTCTGTCTATTGGACTAGAACATTTGCCAACGCATTCAACTAGTGATTCCTGCTTATTCAACCATTCAAAGCTTGGCTCAGTACAATCGCTCCAACATTTATCGTTTAGTTTGTAACCCTAAGATAATGCGTTGAGATTGTGGTTACTCGAATAAGTTGAAAGGGTAAAAGAAAAAATACTTGATGACAAAACAAATTATTTCACTCCTTGTTTCCTACAAATATATTTTTTGTTGAATCTTGAGTTTGAAATATGATTGTTTGAAATTCAAATAGATGGCAGTGGAGAGAGCTTTGCCATTCTGCTGTATATTGATTCAAAGACATTTTATAGTTAAAGGAGGACATGCATTCCATCGTATTTTGTGCAGTCTACCGTAAATATTTATTTTGTCATTATAAATCCGAAGATGTTTTGAATTAAATTCTAAACAAATATAGAACATTTATATGGAATTAAATCCCTACCTTCGTGAATGTCCGAATTCAATCCATCGCGACAAGAAGAGCGTTGTCTTTCCTCTTTAACTAATGTGGAGATCTTTTTTGTAAAAATCGATAATAATACATCATATTTTCAGCTTTTGCAAAGTATCGTAGACAATCTTACCTTCTGTATTTTACAATGACTCTTACATCCATCAATGTTCAGCCTCGCACAGAGAGTTTTGCAAGGAGCTCCGTGTATGTTCCGCGCTGAATGTCCAAGTATAAAAACATTTAGATCCAGATCCACAAAATTATGCCTTGATTTTGATACTCCTGAACTGAATTACATGTGCATTCTAGTAATTCGAATATGAGAGAAAATTAAAAACATATTTTTTGTTGTCTGATTAGGATGAAATGCACCCTATGGCTATCAATAATTCGATATTTACTGAACTCATGATGATAAAGATGATAATGGAATGTCTGACTCAACATTGTTACGCGATAGAACATTTTCCCAGCATCATTTCATAACATAAGTATATCAAGTAAAATTACTGCTACCACTAAAAATCATTTAGAAATATAACGTGCAACAATGATCACATCTCCTTTCAGAAAAATCAATCGAAATTGAAAATAATCAAGAAACTCCTTTTAAAAGTAGGCCTACATATAAGACTGGATCCAAAATAAATTTCGAAAAGGGTTCAGTATGCGAGAAAATTACTCACCTATCGAAAATAATAATAGAACATAGATTGCAATTCTTGTAAGCCCGAATGATGACATATTAAAAATGATACTCGAACTGAAAATCTAAAAATTTCTCACTAATCAGTGACAAGAATAAATTGATGAATTTATATGTCGATTTGCTTCTATGTTTGATAATTTATGTAGCAATAAATTGTATGTACGATTAATAGACGCTAAAATGACTAATGCTGTGTTACTTTTACAGACAAGAGAAATGACGATATGAATGCGTGTGGTAGTGACTGATGTGGGAAGACACTTATCAATTTGATTCTTTGCACATGTATTGTTTTATTGACTAGAACCAATAAACAGTTTTGTGATATATGTGACATTAGATGATATATATAGTGAAAATGATGCACTCCCATCAAGAGTGATTAATTGTAAAGTATAACTTGGAGCATGCTTTACAATGCTGTTGTTATTGTTAATTCTAAATAGGGGTCAATACGTTCTATTATCGTATGATCTGTAAAATGAAGCCCTCTGATTGGTCAGTTCTTGTGCTGTACCAACCTGTATTGCTACAGAGATTGTCCCCGTTGATCATCTCCGTCGCTATACAGAAAATATTGATTAAAAACGTTATTGAATAATTTGAAGTGAAATACAGGATATATTCTGTTTCGATATTCTGTATTGGCACTCGACTTCGTCTCGTTCCAATACGGAATTCTCGAGCAGAATATATCCTGTATTGCACTTCAAATCATTCAATAACTTATAATATTATAAAAATGTATATTACGTAAACCTTTGCGATTATAAATACAATCTTTAAACATTTATGTGTATTCTTATTGATTCCGTTCTTTCAGATTTGTGAACATTTTAACATTCCTTTGAAATTTGAAGGGCATTGTAAATATAAATTAATCGGACGATTCTTCATTGGCATGTCCCGATAATTACTCTGCATAAATACGTACTATAAATGCTCATGCAAGTAGGCCCAGGTCTATGATTTATATTCCGTATGTTACCTTGATAAGTAAAGGGAAAACCATAAACATTTTACTACAATTCACTGTTCCACAACTAGTTACTTTGACGGAACGTCAATGTAACAAAATGGATGAATTTCCTGGTTACGAGTTTTTTGGTTTCTCGATTTAAACCTACTTATAAGTCAAGTTGCAGATTATAATTTGGCACAAAGCCAGACAATACAGTCTAGTTTTAATAAGTTTCTTCGATTTGGAATTTGTTTTGTAAATGAAGTTGCAATTCATATATTTAGCCCCTCGCTTTTGTTACTTGAAGTCTGTTATATTACCAAAGCTACTTTGACGACTTACGTCAATGTAACAAAAGCGATGGTCTAAATGTATGAATTACAGCTTTATTTAAAAATCAAATTCCAAACCGAGAGCATTTCTAAAAGCTTGACTATTTTGTCTAACTTTGTGCCAAATGATAATCCGCAATATGACGTAAACGTAAGTTTAAATCGAGAAAACAAAAGACTCCTATCCAGGAAGTTTATCCATTTTGTAACATTGACGTTGCGTCAAAGTAACTAGTTGTGAAACAGTGAATTGAAATCATTATTATCCAAAATAATGAAGTTCTGTGTATATAGTGAAGCTCTCCGTCCATCACACACCATCTGCGCGTCCGTATACTAGATATAGTAGACACATTTTCTTCATACTTCGAAAGATGATTTAAAAATATGTATATTTGTTGTGATACTCTCTAGAGCTGCGTGTTGGTGAATACGTAAAAATGAAGATGGTTTAATAATATTATTCAAATGAAGAGTAATTTAGTGATCGTGGTCGTGATCTCTTCAAAGTATACTTCTTCGATTTGAGTATAATATAGCCATTCGTGATTCGTATATGGTTATATTATACTCAAATCAAATTAACGTATATCATATTGATATTGAGTTGTAAAGAGAGGTCGGTAAGGGCAAATACTCCAAGCAAACTCTTCTAAATGCCTTAAAAAGGTTTTATGAGGATTATTAAATGCCATACCCCTATTTGCAATGTATTTAAGGTCATATCTGGAAAGAAGTACTGTGTGTAACCTTTTCCCGTTTCTGAGTTGAACCATGATACTTGGCAAATCAATGTAACCTTGGACACGCTTTAAAATGATATATGATAATACTATGGGGACATTGGTGTATGTCTGCCTAGGGGAGGGGGCATACTTTTGGGACACCCACGTCAATCAGCAATTTAAAGCATAAATCCTTCAGTGGAGAACAATAGTGCAGGGGATGTTCTGACCCAAATAAATAAAAAATGCTTCAAATATGCACAATGGTGGAGAGAATAAAAGTCTATAATGAACAATCACCAAAAAAGTATTCCATCACCATCAACTTCCGTTGCAGGCACGTTGTAGGCATTTGTAAGCATTTTAGTTTTCTAAACATCGGTGGTCAAATTGAAACAAAAATTAATAATGTCATTTGGTTGACTGTTGGCCACCATTTTGTATGCTATCAACATTGAAAGTTTTCTTTGAAACGAGCAATGGGTGAAAATTGCAATTAAAAATCCCATTCAGGACCATTACAACGTTTCATCTCATAATTTGTTCATGGGCACAGCTCTAGCTCATCGAAACAGTTCTCAGTGTGCATTGCAATGTAGTCTATGTCTAACAAGCCATGAAAATATAATGATACAGTGACCACACAAATAAATGAATCTGAAGAGAGCGACCGCCGCAAAGCTCTGTTTCAGAAAATTATTCTGCTCTACATAGTCTCGAAAATCACTCCGCCATCTCTAGAAATTCTGTTTCTAACCAAACTTGGAAATGTTTCCTGATAGATAAGTACTTGCCCTATCGGGAATAAACATAGATTCATTTAGCAAACACTAGATGGCGCTGCGACTGGCCAGAAAAGGAGAAAAGTTTTTTTATACAGGAAACCAAATAACCTACTCCGAACTATATTCAATTTGACTGGCTTACTATGGCATCATTGGGAAAAAAATTAAAATGATTGGTCAGATTCACGTTACCTTTTTGTAAACAAATAAGCCTTTCTGAATCAGCAGATCGTAGGGAAAGGGAAATGGAGGAACGTGTACAACATGTTTGTATACAATACTGCTATAACGTTTTACTGATCATGATAGGAATATCGAATAGTTTAATAACGGTTCAAGTTATATAGGTATATTACTGCTGTTAAAAAATGTCTAATTTCTGTACATTACTCACTCTTTATTAATCTTTGTCTGATGTTTTTACTTTTTAATTATTTTGTATAAAATTGTGAATGTAACTCTCTTGTTATTAAGAGGCAAATAAATTATACATACAGTAGAAAATTTGATAGAGGACCATTATGATATTTCATCTCATAACTTGTTACCGGGCACAACTCTGGCTCAGAGAAACAGTTCCAGGTGTCTTTCAAGAGTCCTTTAGAGATTTAGCTTGCCATTACAAGATTATGATACCGTGACCACATTGATTTTTAGCAAAATGAACTTGGAGAAAGCTATACTACTACCACAAAGCTACCTGTTTCAGAAAATTGTTCTGCTCTACAAAGTCTCAAAAATCACTCCGCCATTTCTAGAAATTCTGTTTCTAGCCAATCTTGGGAATGTTTCTTGATAGATTAGAACTTACCCCATCGAGAAAAAACTCTATTCCTTTATCAAACACTAGGTAGCACTGCGCTGGGCCAGAAAAGGACAAAAAGCGTATTTATGCAGGAAACCAAATTACAACTACTCTGGACTACGTATTTTTATTTTGATAAAAAGTGCGGTAGCATCATGTTATCCAGTGCGACATTAACCATATGAGGGAGATAAATAGAGGATATCCTATGATTTATGAGTGATATGATTTTTATCCACGAATGGATATGATACCTGCACGAGCGAGCGTAGCGAGAGAGTGCAGATATCAATATCCATGAGTGGATTAAAATCATATCACGAGTAAATCATAGAATGTTATCTTTATTCCATAGTTAAAGTCATCATCAGAATCGTCGGAAATTAAGTGATTTAATTCGAATTTTCCAAACAATCCGGCGATGTTGACACTTAGCCTCGTTTTGAGTCTGAAGTAACAAAAAGCCATAAACCATGGAACCACTATGGAATAATATACATTTAAACATCTCGTTTATGTTTCATAAAGTGCTATACTGCAAACAAAAAAACAATTGTTTTTAAATTCATTTAATTTTAGCATAAGAAGTCAAATATATACAAATATCATCAAATGTACAATGGGAAGCACTTCATGTGGTTCATTTTTACCCTGTCTATATTATTCATATGTTCATAGTGTATATGAACAAAAGGGTATCATTATCACAGTTCATAAATATCATCAACTATGTCAATGACAGTGTTAGGTGGTATGGCTGAATAATAACTCACATCCAATCAACAATATAGCCATAACATCTAAAACGTGTAAGTTTAACTAATATCACTATCTTCAACTACTGGGTTCGAACCAGGAACCATAAATCTCTATGGTCTATTATAGTGAGCATATTTGCATATCCGTGTCGTATCCTATCCAGATTATTATCACTGTGTTATGTTATGTTTTTAATTTGGATATTTAATTCATATATAAATGGTTTAATCGTGTTAACATGTTGAGTCAGCAAGATCTTGATTGCAGTTGGACTTAATTCATATATAAATGGTTTAATCGTGTTAACATGTTGAGTCAGCAAGATCGGGATTGCAGTTGGACTCAAGTGAGATCGGTTCTCGGTCATCGTAAAGTGTCGGGGCTTGCAGAATGATCCCAAAAGTGCCAACAATACAAGCAGTTGTAAAAATCCAAAGGAAGAGTCTATCCAGCACTAAGGCCACGTACTTCCAATCCTCCATAATCTGAAATAGTCAAAAAGTCAAGATTTTTAAGTGTTGTCATAAGAATAACATATCATCTACTGTATAATATTATTAACATCATATTGTATCAAAACATATCAAATCGTACTTGTACTGTCTGATGTCATGCCCTATCATGTAAACATAACTTGATATCAAGCACTGTCATATCATACATTATTCATCATCCTTTTTACCCATTCAAACCTTATTACGCAACTACCTGATCATTTTCATCTTCTTCTTTTAAATGTGTAGCAATATAGTTCACTCCCTCTATTGCCTTGTTAATAGAAGGGTCTGGGTGCCTTAAACGCAACCCTGGCGCCGCGTTCATCTCTGCCTCTAAAACATCCATCTCGTCGGGTGTGTTGGCGAACGTGAAGTTGTCCCGCCTCATCTCATTGAAGGTGTCTCTAACCTCTATCCCATTACACGTACGTACCATCACTTTTGGTGCTTTGTTTTTTTCTAGGTTTGGTCTACGCATGATCAGTAGACGAGGAAGAATATTCAGGAAGACTTTTCTCACCCATGGAGACATAACATGCGTCGATGGTGCCCGGAAATGCACATTAAGTACGACTACAGTTACTATGATGCTGAGGGTGACTAGAATCATAGTGAAGAGTAAGTACTTGCCGATCAGTGGCACCACTAGAGATGTCGGTGGAATGATCTCGGCAAGCAGCAGGAAGAATACAGTCAAGGAAAGAAGGATGGAGATACACAAAGTAATTTTCTCACCGCTGTTAGAAGGCAGATAGAATACTAATACAGTGAGGAAGGAAATAGCAACACAAGGGATGATAAGATTCACAGTATAAAATAAGGTTTTGCGGCGCATCTCGACGGTAAATGTAATATCCGGGTATGGCTCAGAGCAACAGGGGTAGTATTTCTCCTTCCTTCTTGCGGGCACTGCCAGTAAGTCCCATTCAACACTACGGTAGTAATCCCTCAAGTCAACTCCTCTTTCCATCTGGTCTTCTTCCTCACCATCTTCATTCTTTCCTTGGCCAATATGCACCAGGTCAACCTGGTATCCATCATAAGTCCAGGAGCCAAACTTCATTTTGCATATTTGCTCGTCAAATGGGAAAAATTCTACGTTAATTTCACACGAGCTTTTATAGATGGCGGGTGGTTCCCATTTTACACGCCCTTGGGGGTACAGGGTAGCTTTAGTCATTAACGTGACTTCGTAATTACCATCTGCACTGAAAGAACATAATGGTGGGGCGCTATAAAACACAAAAATCATATGGAGAACCAGGCAAAAATACATTAACTCAAACCCAGAAGTGCTAGATTCACCACGTGTTAAGGTATAATGAAGTTCAATGATTTAGATGAATAAATTCTCATTAAAACGGTCGAACAAAAGAGTTGCGAGGACCTGTTGGTCTGTCAAAGAATAGGGTTTCAAAACGAGATCAAGGTACATCGAAATAAGGGGTGAACCAGATGGTAACTGGTCAACTCGTACCCAAGACAAGTCGTACCCAAGACAACTGGTACCCAAGACAACTCGTACCCAAGTATATATTTTGGACTGGGAATGTGAATAGATATACATATTATAATTGTAACATACTGTTCAGAATAGTTTAAAGTTTGAAGAAGAATTTTCGGAAGAAATTGATTTAATTTTGTGACATTTTGAGCTGAGTGTCAATTTATATTGACTATTATTTTATATTGGTCACAGATTCAGGATGTTCGAGTGAAGAGACATATGTTTATTCCACATATTCATAATCATTTTTCAAAATATTGTATGTTTATGAGTGTTTGGAACAAGTGTCAGATCTTATGTTGTAATTATATTTATTTGTATATATGTTTGACAAAAAAATGTTGTGAACAAGCGCTTCAAGCACTTCTTTTATTTAATAAAAAAAATGCTTAACTGATCCATTGAGAAAAAATGTCGTCTAAATTCAAAAAAATATTGAGGCTTATTTGATTCACATTACAACCTGAAAGCATTACAAACTCAATTTTTTCCCCAATATGCACCCATTATACTGAAAATAATCTTGGGTACGAGTTGTCTTGGGTACCAGTTGTCTTGGGTACGAGTTGACTAGGAAGCATCCAGATGACCTGACATAGTTCCATTAAAAACAGAACGCAGAACGAGGAAATTTTCGTTTTTCACCGAGAGAGGTCGCACCTCTTTTCAAGATGGCAGAAGGGGGACATTCTAAAGTAACATTCGGGTCTGGGCAAAGCCTGGATGTACCAATAGATGGATGAGCTTGAAATGGTTGAAATAAATTAAAAACACGCAGAAATTGCTGTTAAAACGAACATTTCCTTGTTGAATCGATTAACCCATAAGATTGTGGATTCAACTGCATCCTAAATTTGTCGGGAATTTATTGACGTAGATCATTTAATTGTGTAGGACGTGGAAAATTCTCCCATATTGTAATCATATGGACAACCTATTGGGATTGTCTAAGGACTATTGTCCTGGCAAAAGATAATGTGACTCTAGGTTCTGGAATTGAGTTGGCCCCACAGTATACAACAAAAAATATTATGATTCTAGACTAATAATATTATTTTCTAGTGGTTTATAGAATTAACTGCAACATATTCGCCATTTGTAGTAATTCGTAACCTAAATATTCTATATGAAAACTAAACCTTGTGGAAACAGGGCAACGGGTAATTGGAACAGAAAATCGAAAGCAAGGAATAAACTTTAACATGATGCACATCCCTTCAACCTGCGTACTGTAATTATTATAAGGGCGTCTGTTTATTATGGGCAGAGTTGATTTGGGATGTTATTACTTATTCTACTCTGACTACATTTAAAGCAAAATCAAGAATGCCAACCAAATTTAAAATGAAGGAAATACAAAAGTAAATTAGAAATATTGATATACTTTATAAAAGAAATTAATAAAAATTCAATTAGACTATCGATGGCTACCACCTTTTTCAACATCAAAATTAATTTCGAGAAGAACGTAATTAATATACGATGACTTCATACGGTGAAAAAAATCTGTCACGAATTAAATTGTGCATTTCTCAAGAAATGCTCTTTTCTGAGTTTTCGTAAATCTTTTTTTCAAGTCATCGCATTTCCCACTGTTAATAAAGGGTAAAAAATAAGTGAGCAGTGGACGGATATAACAGAGAGTAAGGCACGAGACAATGCTTGTACGATTGAAACGTGTCTTAAAGAGAAAAGAGGGCTGTTCAAGAAGATGTCTGGCAATTAGAACTTGCTTTGTGTATGTCCATCCTTATTTCATGTTAATTAAGAAACGTAAAACAATATTCAATTAGTTGCCTTATGCTGTATCCAAATTCATGTAAAAGCTCTGAAATGTAAGGAATATCATAGTTAACTTTGGTCAGAGACATATGAATTTTATATGTCTCTGCTCTGGTGTATCTTCAATCTTCCAATTCATCCATCAACAGAAAGAAAAATTGCAATGTAATTCACACAAATATTTCCTCTTGAATACCTAAGTGTGAATGGTAACTGAGATATAAACTTTTATAATGATTCATTTATTTGGACCACTTTGTATATTAAAGATGACAACTCACATCTAGGACATGCGTAAAGGGTTGATTTGCCCTTTAAGCTTATGATGACGCCATTAGTAATATTCCCAACGTAACAAAAATGACCCTTCTATTAGACATGAAATGACGTTAATACAAGATGAAAGCATATAATTGAATTTACAAGGCATAAGATTTAATTTGCGCAAATACAATCAGTGAAATACAATAGAATAACAGCACTTTATACGAAGAACGTCTCCACTGACGCTAATAGACAGATCGTTCGTAGGTTAAAAGCAATGTTCTTTCAGTACCACCTCGTATACTATAATATCTAGATCTACTATAGATCTGAAGTTGATGTGTTGTTTTCTGAAACACTTCCAGCCAACTTCCAGCCAATCCGAACACAGTATTTCATATAGGTGCAGTGCATTGTATCACCAATCATCGCATCCAAGGTCACTCATTTTGTGGTTTGCAAGTTTATAACTTGACTCTACATACTGAAATTGATACTTTGCCAAATTGACCCTTGCAAAATTTTCATTGAAAATAGGTTCTTTTATTGAATTTGTATCTTTTAAGTGACATGGTAGAGAAGAAGCCAAATTTTGGAAAGCAACAACTTCAAGGAATGGTCATTCCACATTGCACTGAGACCAGGGCTTAAATCCTTGAATATTCTCCAATTCTCTTTTGATTTTTGAATTGGATTTTTGGAGATCGTCACTTTCCTGGGATAACTATAAAGCTTTCGAACAGATGTCCACAAGGCAGTTAAACATGACAAAATGTCCCCAATTTGTAAGTTATTGCAAATTGTTACAGATGCTCAGCTGCGAACGGAGTTGGAGACCAGAACAATAAAGATTCGGGAGCTATATTTTAGCAGGGGACCGATCGATACATGTAGGAGCGCAATATGAACTAGACTCCCTCCATAAGTTTTCCAACCATAAGTTGACCAGTTAGCAAAGCCTGTTTTTGTCCAAACCATAGCAATTAAAGAAAAAGAACTGAATACAATATAGCCCAAGAAGGAATACTATAACAAAAAAAACAAACTTTAAATGACGTTATCTGATCGAAACGTCCAATTGCCAAACTTTTGGAGGGAGGTATACTCGTTGTAAAGTAAAATGTTTGGTTACCAGATTTCTGAAGAGTGCGCATACACGTACGTGTAAGGGCAAATTATTTCCTTATCGTAGCACCACGTGTCCTTTGAGACATATTTCTGTAGAGGGTACTACAAGTTCGGGCATAATACTTACTTAATGTGTAGTACAATCACCTTTCAGCCAGGTTCCTGTAAAGGGCACATGTATGTACGGGCTTAACACTTACTTATTGTACAGAACGATATCTGGTAGCCATATTTCTGTAGATGGAACATACAATCTGTCCACTCCGCCATATTCCTTTGGATCCCAATGCAGTTTATAATCATCCCACTCCTGCAATAAAGTAGTCCGAGCACATATGAAGGTATAACATTAATTGTGTTTTTCTCATGTGGTTGCTTCTTCAAAGAATACATATCAAGATCATCATATTTTTGACTACTAGTATTTATCGGATATGGGCTAACCCTACTATCACACCAGATTAGTTCTCACTGCGTTTTCGAAAACGGTTCTGCTGTGTACGAGAGGAATGGACGTACTAAGAACCGTTTAGTGTTTTTTTACAAACTGCATGTGCATACTCGAACGGGGTAGGTCCTCTAGAACTTAAAGCAAGCTCATTTACGAGTAACAACGCACTTAAGACGAGCTTGACGTACTACGAACGGAACTGTCGTACTTCAATCCTAATATGGACGTTTTTAGAACGGGTTAAATTGTCCGAGGACGTATTGAGAACGAGGTAGAACTAATTGCAAACCGGTTTAAAGTGATTAAGGATGTATTAAAGACGGGAAGGTGAATTAAAATTTTGAATCATTTCAAAATTCGATGGCGATCAGCTTTTGCAGCTTTTTGCAGCTTTTTGTGGGAATGGAAAGAACGGTTAAGAACTAGTATGTTGTGATAGGGGGTAAGGTAGTGTGTGCACTGGCGGATCCACGGGGTGGGCATGGGGCCTGGGCTCCCCCCCCCACCTAGGATGGGCCAGCAAAAATCTGTAAGGATTGGCCTTTTGAGAGCATTACTTGGCCGTTTTGGGCCTTATCTTTTAATCTTAGGTCGAATTATCAAAAAATGGGCCTTAAATGAAAATTTCAGGGCCCCCATTTTTTCCTGACTTGAAATGTCCCCTACCCCTGCTGCTTCTGGATTTGCCAGTGATGTGGTTCGGGGTTGGGTGAGGAGAAGGGGTGTGTCGATATGAAACCAATAAGCATGTCACCGTTGATGATACCGCACTAGATGTGAGCAATTCACGTCATGGTCTGAGTTTCGCTCACAGTAAGTAAATATTTCTCATTGACTTAGAAACGTAACTGTTATAAACATACAATTAACCATCTCGAGTTACATGTATTGATGCATCAAGACAAATGTTAATTAAAATAAGAACAATGTTTTTACTTCCATACCTGCCTTAACCAAACGTTGGTGGTCATGATCTGATTTTTCTCATCCTGAAAATATAATAAAAGAAACATGATTTTGTATCAAATAATGACCACATAAGTTATTACCTGAAACGACCAACTACATTTAGAATTATACAAAATACACGTGTTTATGCCAGTATATGAAACAAGATTATAAGACCTGAGGAAAAATACTGTTTATCTGCTTCTACGATGTAATTATTATGATAGTTTCAAGCATATGTTTAGACATATCATCTTGTTAGGATGTTACGGCATTTCTTAAACAAATAAAGACTACAAGAATTTTGTTACAACCAGATAGAGTATAACAGTATTCATACAAGAAAATATCGATTAACAATATACAACTTTGCTATTTGTTTTATTTCCATACAGTAACATGTTCAAATGTTTGGCGCGTATGCTTCAGTTTTGTGGTCTGAAAACAGAAGAATAAAGTTTATGTTTTTCTTTTAATTGGTTAAAAGACCGAGAAAGGGATGAGGCTTGTTGGAAAATAATGAAGGAATAAAAACGAAAATGACTTGGAATGCCAAGATGGAGAGGGGAGAAACTAGGTAAATGACATGGGATGACACCGGGACGAGAGGCTATACTTTACGTTGCTACTTTTTACACGTAAACGTTTCTCTTATCATCATCAAACTAAACAGGCAGTTACATATATAAAAAACGTGTTGAAGTCGATTTGTTTTTGCCTTGACTGCTCCAAAGATTCTTATGCTTGAAGCTGTATCACGTTACAGGTGCGAAAAGGTACGATTATAAACCCAAAATTTTGAATTATTTTCCCACAGAAACGGAGCATTCTAAATAACGAAATATGAATCACCTTGATATCTAAAGTTCATAAAAGAATAAATATTATTGTTTTTGAAATATGGTTTTACCAGAAGAGGGTAATCAGGATATGGAAAAGGAGGAATTAAAAAGATGCGCAATGAATAATCCCTGAACATTCTTCACATTCTATTTCAATATAATGCCAAATAATTAATAAACGTCTTGTTTTAAGCATAAAAGCAGCATAAAATCTCTAACGTGTCTTTCCTTAACTTTATTATCTAACACGGCCGTCCTTTACATTTCAATTAGTGAAGAACAAAACAGCATATACATAAACTTTTGATAGTGATCGTATAATGGCAAAGACCGAAATTTAGTAGTAATTCCATGGAAATATATTTGAAATTGATAAAATGTGAAAACAAATATGCCAATAATATAGGTTATGAATCGGCTTCGGTAGGTTAACATTTAGATATACTGACATTTAACGATCGCGAATGAATCGAAATGATTTCTTTAGCTAAATAGTTGATAATATTTGAATATTAAAATGTAGTTCTATCTTGTTTTGCTTCTGATATATTGCCTCATTAGATTTTCTATAAAAAACTTGAGATGTCCATTGAATTAATATTTACTAACTAACGACTTTTCTTACTACGTCGATGACTTGGGAGAGTCTGAGCCCCAACTCCACCGTCAACGTGTTCGAATTGTTCAACACTGGTCGAATCAACTTATTGTAGCCGCTCTTCCTTAGTAAATCATCATATAGTCTTTTTGCATCTGGGTTACCCACACAACCTGAAAATAACCATTTTGAAAAATACTAATCAAAATGTCATCACGTACCACGTCTATTAACTGGTCAAGTCTCAGTCCAAGACGAACTGTCAGCGTCTTCTTGTTGATCCCGACTGGGCGGATGAGTTTGTTGTAATTTCCATTTAAGATCAGATCGTCGTATAGCCTCCTCGCGTGATCATTTCCTCGACATGTTTCAAGCAATGTCGAAACGATCCAGACCGAAAGCAGAAAAACGGTCATATTCCACATTCTTTGATTTAGATATTGCAACTTTACACCTGCAGTCCCCAAGAGCGGCGTATAACTCCTTACTAAATAAACGAAGGAAAACCCGGGAATGTTTTAATTAGACTCTCCTTTAATTACTCCATGTTTGCTTATACCTGTATATTTGGTTCAAGTTTGTTTTTCTCATAGAATTTCTCACAAAAAGTTCAAGCGCAGATTGACGGCAACAACATGCTCTTGGCCTAATATGATATTTCCTCGAAACATGGACTATTAGTTATCTAGCCTGGCAGTTTGGAACAACTTGGAAACAACCTTTCATTCGCCAGGTAAAGTTATGACAAATTGTCTAAGAGAAAGTAAATTTACTACTTCTTCGAGTAGCTAGTAAAGACATTAAAGCATGAACAGTAAGCTTATTTTTCAAAATCACATCTACCAAAACATAATTACATTTTATAACATATTTTTGTCCGTCCCAAGTAACGTCATTTTTCTTAAAGAAGTAAAACATGTGTTGCTATCCCACAACCTTTCTTTTTTACTTGATCTTTTGATTCCAAATAATATTAAGAATTCTTAAAATAAGAAATCATCATTTCCGAGTCTGTGTTTGACAATATATGGATATAGCTCATTTATTTGTAGATTTTAACATCACATGCTGCTAGAAGATGGTTTACTAGATCCTTAAGTTTTGTTAAGACATATTCATTCATTTACGATAAGATGCAATTTTCACAAAACATATAATGTCATCAATCAATTTTTACATGTTTTACATGTATGACACGAGAATAAAATTGAGGTAAGTTGAGGCATGAACTTAAAAAAAGCTCTATAAAGAAATGTATGAGACAGCTGCCATAAAATAAGTAAAGTTGAAATAAATCCGCATAAATGGCTGTCTTTTTATCTCTACAGACAGCCTTTAATTCTTCAATAGAAAGGGAATGGAAACTCCCGTGGAGAAAAATGGGTTAATTCTTATAAACATAATTTGAGATTGATTTTTTCTTTGAAAATCCAAGTTCTGTTGGTACTAATGCGACCATTAAGGATACATCTGTGAGTTTCTTGTATTATCTCAGACTGACAGGCCAGTTCGTATTGCCAAAGGTTCCTCGCCATGCAATAATCCCATCCAACCCAAAATAGCTTCATCACCGAATCATCCAAGATGGAGACAAGATGGTTTGAGAAGGCTATTTCATCAATGACACTTATATTACGAGAGTGATTGAAGTTGATTGCATAGTATAAACGTAAAAAGTATGTTGCATTTGAACTTATTTGGTAGTCTTTCGATTGCATTAGGTTATCATCTAAAAGTTTCTTTTCGCAAATTGTAATGGCTGGTTGATTGATGGAAATGATTGTTCACAATATTATGTACAAAATGATTTCATTTCAATATACCATTTTCAGGTTTTAAGAGCTATCTACATAACTTTACTGAGTTTTCCTGGAAGGGTATTTATAAAACATTATAAGCAGTAATATACACAGAAGATTATGACCTTTCACTCTCGGTTTAAATGTACGAGTTAAATGTATAATATGTAGATTAGAATATAAAAAAATGAAGTTGTATAATTTCTAAAATTTGTAAAATTTCTTCGACATTGAGAATTATACACTAATTCAATTTTTAACGTCGATGCAGTTTCGACGGGTTAAAGTGATACCAAAGCGCAAATTGACAGCTGCTGCGCATCTAAGATACGCTCTTTACTTCGCTATTAATTTATCAGAGAGTACAAATATTTCCCTTCATGCGAAAATATCTTAGCAACAGAGATAATCGCATTAACAACATGCACGACTGTACAGCAGTGTTTGGATAGGTGGATACCAAACATTTCATGATGAGAACATTCTAAATAACACTTTTGCATTTGTATCAAAATATGTTAAAGACTCGTGTTTCAATCTGTATCTGTAAAAGGGCATTGTTTATCGGTATCGAATTGATACAGAGAAACAATATCCTTTAACGAAGACTGATATTGATACAGTCAAAGTGTTTGTTTCTGTTTATATTAGGTAAAAGGGTCATATTTGTCACAGTATCGGTACCAATCTGTCTTGAGGCCAAGTGTTCATTCTCTGTTAAAGGCTCGTTTTTGTATCCGAGTGTTTCTATCTTTGTTAAAGTATTGTGTTTGTAAAGGTCGGGCAATAAGTATTGCTAATTTTGCTCTAAACCTTTCTATTTCTATTATTCCAACCCGAACTCTGAGAGCCTTAGAGGATACAAAATTCCTTTAAACATGAGTAAAAGGTTTGAGAAATCTACATTCTATGCAGCAATTGAAGTTTGGAATAGTTTACCTGATGATATAAGAAATTGTGAGCTAATTTCAATTTTCATACGTAGAATCAAGGCACACTTTTGACATTTCAATGGTACTAATTTCATAACTTATTGTAATGTGAAAAGAAAAAATGAAGTCTCATTTAACAGACTCAGAGTAGACCTTTATTTAAAAAGTCAGCTTTTAGCACATAATTTTAACAATGTGCCTTCACCAGAATGTGCCTGTGGTCGTCACTCTGAAAGACCAAAACACTTTTTTGCACAGTACCCTCTGTACATAAGCCCAAGATGTCAACATCTTAAACATCTCCATATGGCTGATTGCTTAGTGCATTTCTAGACTGTAATTCTTTTGATAAATTAGACAAGCTTTTATATGGTTACCCTGATTTTGGTGATAATACGAATATATTAATAATCAATCTTGATGTGTTATATCCTATAATTCTTGACTCGCTTTGATAATGTTTTATCTCGTCTTCGACTCGATAACCCTACTATCACACCAAACTAGTTCTCACTGCGTTCTCGAAAACGGGTTTCAACTGTGTAAAAACGGACTGGACCTACTAAGAACCGTTTGGGATCTATTTACAAACTTCATCGAGCGTACTCGAACGGGTAGGTCCTCTAGAACTCAGACAATGCTCAAAATGTTCTCGTGGTCGTCACGTTCTACAATTAGAACGAATGACAACGTACTAACGACGAGCTGGACGTACTACGAACGGAACCGTCGTACTTCAATCCTACTAGGGACGTTTTAACAACGAGTTGAACTGTCTGCGGACGTGTTGAGAACGAGGTAGAACTAATTGCAAACGTGTTTAAACTGATTAAGAACGTATTTAACACTGCTTATGAACGAGTTAGCAAAAATATAGCTATCACACCAAACAAGTTGCCACTGCGTTCTTCAAAACTGGTTTTAAACTGTGTGCGAACGGAATGAGCGTAGCTGCAACTTTCTAAGGTCTATTTACGAACTTTATGAACGTTCTCAGACGGGAATGTGATTTTAGAATTTTGAATCGATTCAAAGTTCGATGACGACCATACCGTTCTGTAATCAGGTCATGTTGACCTTCTAGACTAAGGGACGCGTTCTACGACGTTGCACTCCGACGTGGTGCGACCTGAACGAACTGCGAACGAGATGGACGTATTGAAGACTGTTTAAGAACGAAAAAGCTAATTATTTCAGACATATTTCCCGACCACAGCCAGATTGAGCCCGTTTGACGACGTTTTCGTAGGACTGGCAAGAACGGGTAAGAATTAGTTTGGTGTGATAGGGGGGTAAAGAAGAATTATCAAATCTGATCAAGAATTGACGATCTTGCACAGGTCCCCATTCAAGAACGTCCATTTCTTTTACTGGACAGATTTTAGTCTATTATATACTAATACATGGGTGATATGAAAACATTTTTGGCAAAAACGTTTTGGTTCGAGGCTTTTTGGCAAAACGTTCGGTTTAGATACGGTTTTGCTTCAAAAATGTGTAAAAGTGTGGTGGAAGTCTGCATAAACAAAGAAATATAGGGATCGAGTATACACTTTGAGTATATTTAAAAAATAGACATGACAAGGAATGATATGAGCCCAAAATGTTCTAAAATCGAAACAATCTTACAACTACTCTTTGCTAAATCTGATACAACCTTCATCTCCTTGTTTTTCTTAAATCCCTTCCTTTATTCAAGAAACAAGGAGTTGAAGGTTGTACCAGATCTAGCAAAGAGTAGTAGTAATGACAATGATTGTTTCGATTTTAAAAGATTTTGTTTGTTATAGCTACTATAGTGTCATAGAAATCAACTGAGACATACATGTAGGCTGGGTAAAGAAAATGTTTCCTTCGGGCCTAAAATCAACGGCCGAATTAAATTAATTACAAAGACCATCGTTATAATGGGAGGCTAGTAATGCATTAACTGCAGTGGTATGGTTACATAGGAAGACAAAGCCAAATGAGGGTGGTCAAGAAGAGGAATCCCTTCCAAATTATATTAGTATAGACTTTGGTATAAATTATTTTTGTATGAAAATGAAAATTAGAATACAATAGAAAGGGGATTATTGTAAGCAGTAATATATTCACTATACTCTTCACTATAGTTTACAAGGGGAGAGTAAAAATGTGTTGTGTTCGGCAAATGTAGTAATAATCATTGAGATGTAAAATAAAGTTGGCGATCAATATCAGCCAGTGATCGCATCATCATTACTCTATTTATCATCACCCAAGTCGTCTCATTGGACACATTTGTCATCATCATAATAACGTTCTAGTTAAATACATTTATGAATGAGGTGTGACAAGGATAAGATGTTGTGTTGTAATAACGTTCTAGTTAAATACATTTATGAATGAGGCGTGACAAGGATAAGATGTTGTATTGTAAAAACGTTCTAGTTAAATACATTTATGAATGAGGTGTGACAA